ATGGAAGGGGCTAACAAGCTTTTTTCTTTTTCTTCTTCTCCGTCCAATCAACAGTCAACAGCTAAGATGTACTAATACGATAAGGGACAGATATCCAACCACTCACTGTGTGAGATTGATGGCTCCAGCTGATCTGGCATCTCTCCTCTCTCTCCCGATTCTTGACTACTCAGTTTCCTCGGTTCCCGTTCTGCTGGTGGTGGTCGGTGGTGGTCGAGGTGAGGGACACCACCACACACCCACACCCACCCCGGCAGTGATACACAAGTCATCTACACCAACCAGAATGAAACACGTCCAGAACACAACCGGCGCTCCACTATTGCCTCGCAACAAATACTTTTGGACGTGAGAGCGCAGGCGAAAAAGCCAGAGCCACATGTTATTTCTATCCTCATCTATGCTATCTCCGCTAGTATGCTACACATACTTTCATGTGCATAAGTTTCAAGTCTGTTTCACTTATTGGTTACGAAAGTACATTAGGGCTTGCCCACACTACCAAGACACTAGCGAGAATCATCGACTCCGAACCACCCACTTAGCACAACACAAGCGTCCTCAACTACTTAGAAGAGTCTTCGGTGACCCTGGAAGAGAAGGCGATTTTGGCAGCATACTATACAGACATACACAAACAGGATCTCAATAGTGCCTGAAAGACATTAGCGAACAGACTATTGCGACATTTCGTTTCGTTCATTGTAGAACATGCGGTGGGCCCCATCACCTCCATATATAGGAAAGTCGAACCACCGTATGGCACCAGCGTCGCGGCTCAGCTTTGAACCGCCGCATGACCAAGGAGACAGCATGCATGCCCAAGCGACAGCTAGAGACTAGCGAGAAGGACGATGCTAGCAAGTCAGCCGCTAATTCTCAGACAAGGCCCACACACTTCACTCCACCTGTGCTAGTGATGGGGTTACTAGCAATGGATCTGCCTTGCGTCTCAGTCCCAGCACCACAGGCACACATATCACTGCAACCAACAGTAGAACTACCAGAACACCACCTAACACTCCTAGAGATAAGTAAGAATGGGTCAGGTTCAGTTCTATGTAGGTGAGGGTTAGCTAGGTAGGTTGAGGACACAAAATAGCCTAGAGAAATGTTGACTAAACCAGCAAAGGTCTGAAACACACAATCTTGGCAGCTTACCAATCATAGTAACTACTTGAGTCATCTCGCTCTGACTAATGGTGAACTGTAGGCATTCAGTAGTAATGGAGGATGCTGCAAAATCAATATGAAGTGCACGGTTTGACCGGTCGAGGTTTCGGGTACTGTAAGAGGCTCGGACTTACACCTGCAAAATTAAAAATTGTAATACAGGTTTACTCCAGCTATATGTACCTGTAGTGCAGCTGACCAAGGCAATAAGAGAGGACTAGGTGTAGGAGATACAGCCTAGGCCGACAACCCCAGGGGTATGCTGTGTCGTACTGCACCCTGAGACAACAATCACACCTGCTGCCCCAGCTCCAAAGTGTTTGTGTGGTACCCGGCGACAGTCCACACACACCCCCCCACCCCAACAACAGTGGTCAGAACCCACACGCCGCCCAAAGCCGGGGCCCGAGCCAGACCACACCGCCGGGGAAGAGGGGTGGGAGTAAGGGAGAAGACGGCTCGGACTTACCCACTGCCACCAACCACTACCCTACCACTTGCGACAAACTACCACATCACCACCCCACAGCGGACGTCACTCACCACCCCACCCAGGCCCCACCCACAACCATAAACAATGCCGCACCCAGACCCCCCCCACCAGCAGACCACACCCCCCCCACGAAATGACCCCAACACCTGCACACCAACACAAGGAACACCCAAGAAGCGAATGCCCCCACCCACCAACTGCCTGGACGATGAACAAAATTACCTCACCGGATCAACCACACCCCCCCACCCCCGCGAGCAAGCAGACAACCGCCAGACCAGGACTCGCAGATGCCCCCTATGTACTACTGCACTACGAGACTTCTGCTGCACTCAACAGGTTGTACGAGTCAGTGGTCATGGTGTGGAGACACACAGCGACGCACCAACAAACAAACACTCGAGCCAGACACGCAGCGACCTGCTGGCACCACCCCTTCCACAAACCAAAACCCCTCCGTGATGTCACACCAAAAAACACCCCACAGGCACAGCAATCGAGGCAGTAGGAGGCAGAGAACAATACTTGTAACCCCGCGTCGTCGAACTCACCCACCCCCACACCTCGTTCCTACTCTCGCTGATGTCTGCCCTGAAAACAACTCCTCTTCTCCATTCTAGCCTCAAGTCGCTGCGTTGGACCACACGGTGAAGTTCACAGTTACGCTGAGCTTTGCGCACGCACAGATTTGCGCGCATGACATTTTTTGTGAACAGGAATGTCCTCACACAATAAATCTGTGTATGGTCGCGCAAGCTCACGAGAGTATGGAGTCTCGACTGGTGAGTATAAACGTTGTGTCCTGCGAGTAGTCTAGCGAGACGACTGAATGGCGTTTACAGAGATCCAACGACAACACCACACGCCACTTCACCCCTCCCCACCCACATGTTTTCGTGTCGTGATATAGACCGCACACACTCATTTTTGGTGCTCTTGTACACCCATTCAGTTCATTACCAATCACCACATTGCTGTATCTTACCATGATGTGTGGTACTTCTTCCCTTGATTGTTAGCAAAATGTGCAAAGTGTTTGTACTTCAGTTCTGTGCTTACTGCTAGTGCGTTGGCGAACAGGGAAATTTCTGTCCGATATAATGAGCACACACGCACAGTATGACAGTCCAATTTTTAGTGAGGAGTTGGCATGCTCGTGCTTGAAGGGAGCAAAAACCTCCGTGCAAAGATGCGAACTACACATCCTTCCGTTGTGTTACAAGTGTTTCATGATGTGGCAGTGGCTGGCTGTCAGATTCATTTTGGTGGTCAAACGAACAGCACAATTTACTGGCTCATGTGCGCCAGTTCCACAACCACAACACCTAACAGTGGTGTGTGTTCAACTCTCCACCAGCTATATTATACACTACGGTCATCAGCTTTCGTGGTAGATTACATACCGTGAGGTCAACCCTGCCTGGGACGCACATGCATAACACTTCTCAGAGAGTGTGACTACGTATCTCCCAACACATGGTCATGAAGGTGGAAAAGATCCACACAAGATTGGGAAGTTACTGCGTGAATATTCCCAAGCCAGCCGGTACTAACCATCACAAGTAGTATCTATGGGGTGCCAGCGGGTCAAAATTTTTATAAAAATCTCCCATAACAAACCCATGAAGTATATGGAGTGCTGCATACTATAGGACACTCTTCCATTACATAGGCCACTCACCGTATCCATATGTAGAGGCTCTATATAGCCACCAGTAGAAGTGCTACAAATGATATGATACTCCTTAGACATATAGCGCACTCCCTATAGACATACACCCTACTGCATATGATATGGAAACTCCACTGTACAGTCATGCCTCATATTGCATATCGAGCATTGCATATGTATACAGTGTGTCCGGTATTGTGCGCATGAGCGCAGAGTCTACGTCGTAGAGATAGAGAAGGACTCGATACCACACTGTAGACATAAGCAATGCTCGATATGCAAATAGGCAGGATCTGTACAAGTGAAGATTCCATATAATATGCAGTAGGTGATGTATATGGAGTGCAGCTCTATGTATATACGAAGTATCCATATACATTGATAGCACTCTTACATAAACCCACTGGTGGTTATATATAGGACAGCCCTACATAGGCGATCCGGTGAGTGCCTAGGTAAATGAAAGAGTGTCATAATGTATGCAGCACTCCAGATAGCACTTCATTTGTATATGGGAGATTTTTAAAATGTTGACACAGATGGCACCCATAGGATATACGAGCGCAGAAGCATCATGGAAATGGGCACACCTACAACACAGTTACGCATTGAACAGCGAAAAAGTCTTATCACTGCGTCTGCGCCCACATTGGTCTTGTCCGGTGTACAATACAGAACCACGCAGGAACGCATTCTAGTAGAGATACTACGCAAGCAATATAGGAGGGAGGGACGAGTGGGGCTGACTGTGTGCTTACACGTATGCAACCTTTGTGCTTCTACGTAATAAGGCTAGTTATCAATGACAATGTACATCGCCCAAGCAGCATCAATTTACACTGCTTTTGGGGGCAGATATTACTGAAATGCCGGCATGTACACAATTGTGGTGTTTGAAATGCTAAGTTTTGCATGCTCCTCTCAACAAATGATCTGGATACTACTCGGTCCAAACGCATAACAGCTTCCCACGCGCTATGCTCGAAGTGGACCTAGACACACCCAAACGATGCCCCGATATGATCCCAGCCCATACACCCCACTGCCCTAGCTCGCAACCCCCAGCTGCACTGCAAGTAACGTGCAACTTGGCAAAAACTGGAGGAGTGCCACATCTTCTGACACCAGGTATATACAACAGTCAACAAGTCTTGGTGAGCACGAGTCAGACGCAGCTGCAAGTGAACTTTCGGTAGTGAAACCCGAGGTGATGACAAGGCAATTACCAATAGCAGCATTAGAAGGCCAGAGTTCAAACAGCAGAGACAGTGACGGAGAGAAACGAGAGAGCGGAGTAGAAGAAGGGTCACGATCAAAAGAGAACACACTATCGGACGCTTTCACAATCGGCCCTTCGCGCGATTTTGTCTAGCAGGTTGGCGGGAGCGGGCCGCACTATAAACCAACGAAATGCCCCGCGTATTCGTCTGTACGAACGAATGCCCCCTCATCACGTTTGTGTTGCGGCAGTCAATCACGATAGAGTCCGGGAGAAAGAGATGGCGATGGCCAACGTAGTTATGCGAGGCCAGCTAGCAGCCTCTTTCAAAAGGCCGCTCGTTGCACCGCTGAGGGACTTAATATAGAAATACACCGCGCAAATAGCCCAGCTAAGGCGTACATTTCGCCTGGATGTATGTGTAGCTCTGAATGTGTTGTGGTGCTGACTAGGTGACGACGGGGAAGGCCTTCGCAGCTGCTTGCCTGGAAATGGCTTGCGTAGTATCTGTTACTAGAAGCGTTCCTGCGTGGTTCCTGTATTTGTACAACGTACAAGACCATGTGGGGCGCAAGAACGCTAAATTTTCGCTTTCAATGCTGTGTGTGTAGGTTGAGCCCATTTTCATGATGCTTCTTTTTAAACTGTCCCACCATGTCATATCTGTATCTATCTCACACAGAGGAGAGCAGTCGTTGTGTTTGTGGGAGCGAGAACGACGGGAAACTGCACTCTGCCTGCATGGCCCTGTATGACAACCACGAGAACGCTGAGCGAGCCGGCGACAAGAAACCCATGGAGATAATCCAGCTCGTGGGTGCAAAGATCAAGGACTGACCTACTCGTCACCCCATCCGTTCCCAGGGGTCGCCACGGTCAGGTGGAACTCTGTTCCTGGTGATCCATTCCAATAAAGTCAACGAGTTCAGATCGGAGAGTGGAGTCCACTGGCCGAGCCTTCTCACGCTACTGACGATGTTTCCGTACTCTGTCATCCCAGAGGAGCCCAACCCAATCAGCGATGGATTCCGGTACAAAGTGGACCCCAAGTCCCACGGAGCAGGTATAATTCACACTATGATTATTTTGCTAGAGTTACAGTGGTAGTCTCCCTATCTCCCCCTCACCCCCAAACAACCCTCCCATACTGAACTCCCCCCTAAAGCAGATCCAGGACTCACAGTTTGTTTACATGTCTCTCTAAGGAGTTGGTGAATGACCTTTCACTACATGTAACTCAGGCTATTTTTACTAGGTGTGATGGGGAGAGGTATATTAGATCACGGAGCCAATTTCCCTTGAATCCTGGCCTCTAACAATAACCAGGCGTGCCAATATCCTTGCTATTGCAGGCCTCTGTCACCCACCTCCTCCTTCCTCTCCCTTCTTCCTTACCCTTCTTCCCTCCCTCTCTCCTCTCTCCTCTGTTGTCCCAGATTCAGCATGGACAGTGTACATAATGCCAGAGGAGGTGGGCTCCAGATGCAATATGCTAGGGGTCCACATTCTCCTTCTCAGAGGTGGCATCCCTAATCAGAGTGTGGGACAGCTCCAGATCGTGAGTCAGTCCGACGTGGGGAAACCGATCGTCGCATGGGACCGAGACAAGATGCGCAGAACGGGAATGACGTGGAACCTCGTGTTCATCGAGATAGGGCGGAGGTGCCAGGGAGGGCCGGGGATGGTGTGGATGTATGCAGGGCCCAAAGAGGCTTACCCTCTCAGAGAAACTCTCCACAGGTGGGTTTAACTTAGTTTTGTGGTTCCAGAGGATAAGTGTATGTGTTACAGTTGTGGCAGGTTTTATACATTAGACGAAGTTGTTTCCTATGTGTCTGTATTTTACAAGATTGACAGCTTTCAAACGCCTGCCAAATTTCAAGATTTGACCCAAGATATAGTTCCCAGGTGTCAGAACATTTGCAAGCTAGAATGATAATTCAAAGTTAACCCCTGAAATAGACACCACTAATATGGATACTTCCCATTTCCCATGGGTCCAGACTAAGAGGGTTCCACTGTGTAGCAGTTGTGCTTGTGGCTGGATGGGACTTACTTGACAGCTCCAAGTGCACCTGCTCTGACTGTGTACTGTATAGCTGGTTAGGTAGTGTAGTTGGTAAACATGGCACCAGTTTTGTAGGCTCTGTTCACCTGTATGCTCTATTTAGCACATGAGGGGTTTGTTCTATCCGGGACAAGTTTCTTTCCCCAGGACAGCTCTTGCACTCCTGAAATGAGAACACCTTACTAGTATGGGGGACCCTCTCTTATTATCCCATTGGTGATATAGCAAGCTCACTGTAGTTGTCTCTGGATTTACCTCGCCTCTCTCTCTCTCTTTTCCCCTCAGATTCATCTTCGAGGGAGATGGTAAGGCATTGTCCATCCCAACCAGAGACATATTCGACTATTCCAGACCACGTTACTCCGTCAACACGAGTCTCCCGTCGTCCTACAAGAGATCCCAGTCCTCCTCCAGTTTCCAGTACAGTCAGGTGTCGGTTGGTCAAGACTCACCTATCTCTCTCTCTCGCTCCCCGGCCCCGCCCCAAGACGTCCCTCCACCGGTACTCCTCTATAAACACCCGTTCTTCGGTAAACAGTGTTTTGTCCCCGTGCCTCACAGCTCGCACTGTTTGGCCTCCCCGAGTGGCAGTTTCGGAGCTCCGTCCCAACAGTCATACAGTCACTCTGTGGGCTCGTTCAATGATGATAAAATGTTTGACGAGCAAGCAATTAATGTCGAGACAGTCCGTGTCGCCACACGACGAGGGGTACTCTGAGGAGAATGACAAATCAGGGAGCAGGCAGTTCAGGATGAATTCTGATTTCGGTGCAAGTAGCGACGCTCATCATCATTGTGAAACTATGCTTCCACGCGATCAAGAGCAGCACGAATACGAAACTATGTGCCACCCAAGCCACAGCAGACTCCATAAAGCTCACGAGGACTACATCAAGAGATTGCCGGCTTTTGTAAAGCTGACAATTCCACAACCCGTGGTACCCAGCAATTACGACGTTCCTCCAATTCCACGACCCGTCGTACCCAGCAATTACTACATTCCACGACCCATTGTACCCAGCAATTACTACGTTCCTCCAATTCCACGACCCATTGTACACAGCAATTACTACATTCCTCCAATTCCACAACCCGTCGTATCCAGCAATTACGACGTTCCGCCTCGATTCTGCAAACGGAACGGAGAGTAGCCGGTTCCATCTTCAGCCAGTCCGTCCTCAAACTACGACAATTCTGGTCCACTCCCGACGATTCAAGAGGCTCCGGACACACATGAGCAACCGGAATTCTACAAGAGCACATCACATCATGTTCCAGATTTGGCAGCAATTATTGTTGGTAAAAATGAAAAATTCTCCAAAAAAAAAAATTTCCTACGAACATCTCATCTATTCATTCAATTTCAGTGATTTTGCCCATTTATGTTGTCGGGATATCGATTTGCCTTATTTTGCTCATTTATTGTTTGTTGTGTCATGCACTGTTTGTTTAAATCGTTCGTTTGGACTCTTCACAATTTTTTCACGTTCTGCGCACACGCAAACATCGTACTCTAGCGGTGCCAAAGAGAAACTCTACGTTCAAGCAGAAGAGCTATCAGAGCACGAAAGACGATAAAACTATGATCAAATTAATGACGAGGTATAGAATACAAACTCAACCAAGAACACAAAAAGATGAGTACACAATGTATAAATGCATTGCGGTTACGTCCCAAAACATGTTAGTCCCAGGAGTGATAAATTGAACCTAGAGATGTTAATTGGTCTGGAAGAGTACGGGCCGAGGGATGGGGGAACTGAAACAAGGGCTTCGGAGAGTAGAGGTGTTCGATCGAGGGAAGGGGGTGCTGGGAGTGGGCCAGGGAGGGAGGGAAGAGGTAGGTAGCAGAGTGGGACTGGATCTGTGGCAGTGGTACATTCAGAGTTGTCGCAGAGTTAGCTCGATGATGAGTTGACAGATTGGGAGACAGAGATTGTTGGGGTGTTGTCTGGGGGAAGTAGCAGATATTACCGCTGAACACCGCGTGAGGAATCTCCTGGCTGGACAGAATGTCGGCAGAGTCAGAGTGTACAGGAAATGAAGGACTCTCTGTAGGTATACAACCAGCAGTTGTGGACAAGTCTGCGCCTTCAGGTGTAGCAGGAGGGAGGGTGAAGGGAGAGGATATCTGGAGTTGACTGATCTCTATTGAACCACTGGAGGTGATAGTAGGCGAAGTTGGAACTTCATTATTCTCGCCACTTTCTTGCTGGAGTTCAGTTTGTTGCTGCTCAAGCATCTGCTGAGATTCAGTCCAAACCTGCAGCTGTTGTTGGGCCAAATGAGACTGCTCCATTCCCCATGGTTGGTTAAGTTGTATTTGCTGAGGATGAGAGCCGTGCTCTTCCAACTGTCCATGAGGCAGTTCTAGTTGGTGCTGCGCCTGCCCAGGCAGTTGTAGTTGCTGCCGAGAGTGTCCAGGCAGTTCTAGTGACTTCTGATGTTGGGTGAACTGCTGCTGAGACTGCAGAGCAAGTGGAGGACTCTGCGGTTGAGGAGCTCCAAATCCATGAGTGGCAGCTGTCATCAGAGCACCCTGTCGTGCAATGCTCGCCAGGTTGGCCTTCAACCTCTGCTCCCTGATCAGACTCTTTCGACTCATGCTCCCTGTCCGTGACTCTTTCCTGCCAAATGCCCTCCGCTTTTTAAACCATACCTGCACCAAACCAAACACACACAGGAAGTAAAACTGTTTCAAGCCACCAAATGTGACCTTTATCACAGCTGAGTGTTGAGTGTTGCAGTGCAGCCCCCTACATCACTGTATGTGGACACATTATACTTCATCTTAGAGTAATTAGCGACCTCCATACACTGAGACCCTCTGACATGAGTGTGAAAGTTTGTGTGCATACTATGGCTGTTGTTTTTCCCACACAGTTACTCAGCTGCTGGCTAAATAAAGGAGACTGCACAAGGCAGTGGTTATAGCACATATAACTACTAAGTAGCATTTTGACGTCAGTAATTAGCTATTGGGAAATTTAAATTTGCTTACTGAAACAAGAAAGTGTATGTAGATACCTTGACACTGTGTTCGGGGATGCCAACTTGTCGTGAGACCTTTTGTCTGAAGAAGTTGCCGAGATAGGGGTTGGTATGGAAGGCCAGTTCCAGAGCATCTTGCTGGGCCTGTGAGTAGGTCCTTCGAGTTCTCTTGGAGCATCTGCTGTTAGTTTGGAGAGCAGGAGAGGAGGGGGGAGGGAGGGGAGGAGTAGGGGAAGGAGCACAGACGCCAGGCGGAAGTCGAAACAAAGCGTTATTCAACTGGATGTAGCTTGGAGAGTGATTCGGGAGAGTCTCAGGGGCAGGGACATTGTTACTGTCTCCCTCTTCTTCCCTTTCTTCTATGACAGCATTGGCAGTGGCTAGAGTAGCAACTGTGGGGGTGAGATAAGAAAGTCACGAAAAACCACAGAACACTTAGCTATATACCTCTATCAACTAAATCTAGAGTGAGACTGACCTTTTTGTCAACCATAGTACACAGAATAAATGCTGGCCAATGTATTTGCACTGTGAATTACAAACTCGCATATCAGTTATTTTTATAGCTAAAATTCGACCACATGATTAGCAGGAAATGAGGGAGAAGCTCTCAATTTGCTCAATATTATTAACCAACTCGTGATGAACACACTTGCTTTTCAACCCCACGAAGCGTGCAGACACCTTATACACTGCATGATGTGAGGATGCCACATGTACTGGGCCAGAGTATAACAATTTCAATGCAGGGACCAGTGCTCGCAGGAAGTATAATTAATTACGACACTTTTCACCCCTACCCAGCACCCCACTCATAAAAAAACGACTGCATTCGAGAGATATGCCGTGAAAACAAGCGTAAAACCCAATTGCATAATCGACTGGGCTTACCGCGACCTGATCCACTCGCTCTGTGTACCTTGGGGGCTCAGGAAGTCACAACGAATGGCATGTATAGACTCCCGCATGCTATCTACTACCGTAGCTAACCCGTATCAGACTCTCCGCGAGCTACTAGCGGGAGACAGTGGTAAACAGTAAACGCTAATAGCCCAACCCATCAACCCGGATCCCTCTCGCTAGCCAGCAAGACTCAGCGAGACTACTCGCTCGAATACTCACTAGTGGAACAATCCATATCTGCATCGTGTGATTGAAACGAAGTGAAACGTACAAATCTGGGCACATGCGTGTCCATAACCGCAAATGCGCATGCGCACATGGGAAAATTTTATGCGCATGCGCTGTAAGCACTGTGCTGACCTTTCGAACTTTTTTATTGCCGATTCAGCACAACAAATGAAGACCACAAGAATATACCAAAGCGCAGCTGTCTCTTCTGGCCACCAAACTATCGAGTGAGTTGATGTCCTGTATTCTTGGATGTGTGTGTTACAATGTTGAAACAGCGAAGCTATTATACCATATTCACTTTTACCCATTGACTACGTGGTCTATGCTTTTACTTACGATTTGTGATATGGGCTGGGAAGAGTTTTATGACTATACACCATCCATGGCTCTAATATTTATTAATCTTTTGTGCATGTATATATAATATTATTTTAGACATGAGTAGCGTCAACGGTGAAGCTGAGAGTGAAGAATTTGGGTCGGCCCCTTCAACTACAGAGCTAATGAGGGCGAGACTCCGCCCACGAGGTAGGGCAGGACAACACCTGGTACCTGTCATCAAGAAAAGAAGAACAAGCCGAGGAAGAGGGGTGGTTACGAGTGACAAGAGGCGACTTAGAGCAGAGGAGGAGGACAAGAAAGAAGTGAAACAAGTGAAAGATGAAGCGAGTGGTAAAGAAAAGATGGAGGGTGGTGATGGGGATAATGGAGACACACAGAAGCAAATCCACATCCCCATACTCAAGAGGTCGTACCGAATCACAGCTGCCTCCAAAGAAGGGGATAACAGAGACACACACAAGCAAGTCCACACCCCCACACTCAAGAGGTCGTACCGAATCACAGCTGCCTCCAAAGAAGGGGATAACGGAGACACACACAAGCAAGTCCACATCCCCACACTCAAGAAGTCGTACCGAATCACAGCTGCCTCCAAAGAAGGGGATAACGGAGACACACACAAGCAAGTCCACATCCCCACACTCAAGAGGACAGATTCGTCGTACCTAATCACAGCTGCCTCCAAAGACTGTAATAATGACTGCAGTGATTGGGATCAAGAAAGTGCCAGACCTCTAGAAAAAGAATACCCGAAACCCTCATCAAACTATCAGAAAACCCAGCGGAGACTTGCCCGGCAGAAACAGCTGGATGAAATGCGCACCAGAGAGGCTGCTCAGGCACGAGCGGAGAGACTCAAGAGGAGGCAGGGCTTGTTACCACCCTCTAAGAAATCACATGAATGTAGAGTCATGTGGAAAGAGGAGAGTAATTTAGTGGAGGTTTTTCGGTACTCTCCGTGTCCCTCATCTCGAGGTAGCACACTCGAACCAGAGGAGCTGGATTTGAATCAGTAGGTCATCTCCTATATACCTCTCTCTCTCTGACGTTTCTATAGTCAAGAGTGTTTCTCATTTTTATTGCAGTGCATTTTTGTCTACCAAAGTACATAGTTCAGCAAAGTCCTCAGTTATCTTCTGGTTAATTCACTCAATGGGCATGTGGCTTATCTCTGCACATGCATGCATCACCGCGTTGCAAGATATCCCCTATAGCACAATTAAGATTAACCCCATATTTTAATCGCCGCCTGCACATGTGCTGCGCCAAGCGTTTGTTGGCAGCTGAACTCAGCTGCAGTGCAATAATCATGCACCTTTATAGTATATAGTCGACACACTCTGTCTTTCTCTTTTTTTAACGTAATAGCGCGCATGTGCAGATAAAAAGTCGCCTATCATACGCTGAAAGTGCTACAAGACACTGATCTCTGGATTTGATGTGCAAGAAGTCTACTGGTGTTAGAAGGTATAGTCTGTCACTGGCCACTGGTGAGTCGAAAATTCCTTCATTGGTAAAGGAAGTGGCCCCTTACTACAGTGGAAACTCCAAATAATGGACAGATTGGGACCAGGAATTTTGTCCTTCATAATTATATAGGGAGGTTGTCCTCTCTTCAGAGTTTAAAGATGTAGTGAATGTTTGCGATATCCTTTTTTCTATTGTGTCCTTTATTTGGAATGTCCGTATCGGAGATTCTAGTGTGAACATATTTTTGATGTGCTGGGGGCAATCGTCATTAAGAGGATGTTTAAACATATCATGCATAAAAACACACATGTCCATGGACATTGCATAAGCAAGGACATAATATTATGCACAAACAAAAATCAGGATGTGGGTGACGACAATCAGATGCACGAATTGGATGATGTAGTCGGAGTCAGAGTTAGAACACATGGCTAATCAGTGTACGTTGTCCCCGGAGCTCTCGTACTTGCTAATTGCAAACATGCTTGTTTTGTGCATTTTATTTTGAGCTCCTTGAGCCTAATTTAAACCACAGGAGCTTGCATGTTTCTCTTACCTGTATTTTGAGCTCCTTGAGCCTAATTGACCACGGGAGCTTGTAAACATGTTTCTCTTCTGCATTTCACCAGTATAATTATTGAGGTATTAGAGCTTCCATACTTGCTAATTGGAAACATGGTTGTTTTATGCATTGTATTTTGAGCTCATAGAGCCTAATTGAGACCACAGGAGCTTGAAAACATCCTTTTTAAACTTCTGGTGGGGCCAAAACTTATTGATAGCTATTTAGCTATATAGCACCTGAAATGAAATCCTTCACAGATGGTTTTCGTCCATTACTTTTATAGTGGGAGCTGGCCCCACTCCGAATGCACATGGCAATCATATAAACGTCAGCAGAGAACAGTGGAACATCACAAAGGTGAGGCGACGGTGGACGACGGGAAATCTGCTCACCCAATAATATATTTGTGCAGACTCAATAAGACTGCTCAGCAAGCCAAATTGCAAACATGTTTCTCTGTTCCGCATTTTACCAGTATTTTGAGCTTGCTAATTGAACATGCTTGTTTGTGCATTATATTTTGAGGCCCTAGAGCCTAATTGAGACCACAAGAGCTTGCACACGTTTTGTTTCCTATAATGCTCACTCTCAATCCTCTCCCCTCGGATACAATGCTCCCTCCTCCCACCTCGGCCTATATTTAATGCTCTCTCCCCTCGGCTACAATGGTCTCTGGTCGACCAGCTAGGGACACACCACCAGCCTTTGTCAATGATGTATTATCGTCAGTCAGAAAAAGGGGCAACTGGTCCTACAAAATCTGCAGACGTAGATGTAAAAAACGGTATGCTATGATGTGAGAAAACTACATTTATTCAGGGAGAAGCCAGTGAATGTACACTAATTTATATATTAATGAAAAGCACTAAAGTGCAAACCCTCGGCGAACTGCGCATGTGCGGTACCACTAATTGATGGGCTGGGTTTTTTATGCCTTTACTCGTGGTATCCCGCTAGTAGCTCACGGAGAGTCTGACACGGGCTAGCTACAGTAGTAAATAGCATGTGTGAGTCGATACATGCCCTTCGTTGTGACTTGTTGTGCCTTCAAGACACACAGAGCGAACGGACGCGGTCGAGGTAAGCCTGTGCTAATTTACATATTGGCTTGTTCACTTGGTTTTCACGCCATAACTTTAAAACACAGTAGTTTTACGAAAATCGTCTTTTTAAAAATCAACCCAGTGTAGCACTGAACCCGATCATATCGTTATTTACCTGATTTCGTGCGCGCGGTGGCAGAAAACGTGGTAACAGACAGACAGACTGACACACTTACGGGACAACTACCGTAACCCTCGCTGCGCATGCACGCCGAGGGTTAATGAAAGAACCTAGATGCGATGGTGAGCACTTCCTATCACTCACGGTGGTCAGTCTGCTCTGTATCACTCACAGTCGTCAGTCTGTTCTCTATCACTCACAGTGGTCAGTCTGTTCTCTATCACTCACAGTCGTCAGCTGTTCTTTATCACTCAAAGTCGTCAGTCTGTTCTCTATCACTCACAGTCGTCAGTCTGTTCTCTATCACTCACAGTCGTCAGTCTGTTCTTTATCACTCAAAGTCGTCAGTCTGTTCTCTATCACTCACAGTCGTCAGTCTGTTCTCTATCACTCACAGTCGTCAGTCTGTTCTCTATCACTCACAGTCGTCAGTCTGTTCTTTATCACTCAAAGTCATCAATCTGTTCTCTATCACAAATATAGGTGTCCATATAGGTTCGAATCCCACAGGTAGAGCTGAGTAGAGCTGGTTTTTCTTTCTTTCTTTCCTTCTGACTTATGCACTCTTCACACATTTCTTTCACTCTACCAGGCGTGAGATTGGGAGCGAGACGTGCGGATAAATTAATCTGAGGTAATCCGTCGAACCTAGGACACTCTGCAGTCTAGGCAAGCGCTCTACCAAAGCAGTCTAGGCAAGCCAATACAACACAAGGCAAACCTCAAACCACTGTGCTATATGGCACAGTATACTCTCACTTAGCATGTAAATTGCCTACTGCCACCAAAAATGAACCACGAAAGAAGGTAATGTGCGATACTGGCTGGGTGAGCACTTATTAGAATTGTACAGTGTGTATCAGTATGGTAAAAGAACCGACACTCACCGGTTCATTGTGATGATAGAACACCACCAGTAAATTCGGAACGGCTGCGATGATTTTTTCTCTCCACCAGTACAGTAGAAGCTTCTCTAGAAATGAGGGAACCTGCAGAATGTATATGAAACATCACATCAACAAACACAGAAAGGTAAAGTGCAGAAATTATCACAGGCCTTATAATTATAGGCAATGTTGTGCTACTGGCTGGGTGAGCACTTATTAGAAGTACAGTGTGCACCAGCAGTTTCTCACCCCAACAGCTATATATACACAAACAATTCCAAGGTAATGAGATTTTTAGGAAGACTGGAGATCGAGACTGGGTCAACCCTGCATGCCTGATAGCTCACCCAAACACGTCTCAAAGATTGCACAACTGTGTCAACCCTACAGCTCACCCTAACACGCCTCAGAGAGGGTGACAAAGACAATACTCAGGTGGTGGCATCACTCCTGCAGTTGAAAGGGAAGGGTATATGTACTTCCACACAAGTTTGTGGTATGTAAAAAAAGCTGGGAACCATGCATTCCAGAGATGGTTGTCGTCCTTTATATTTATAGTGGGAGGACACATCAGACCAGCCATTCCAACTTTTTTGGGGTTTGAACACTACAAGTTGCAATGCTAAAGCATTCAGTAGGTGTGAAATTAGAAGAAATTTAGATGGTGTGCGGTGTGCTAGTGTAGCCATGAACATGTGTCAACAACATTACCAGCAGAGGAAGGCAAACAACACCAGGACAACTCCGAAAAAGAGCCGCCCTGGCCTGGGTGAGATTCAAAACCACTACACTCGGCAGTCTAGGCACGAGTGCTTTGCCCAATGAGCTAACAGGGCAAGGTCAGTAGGGGCTAACCTACATCACAGGGGCAACCCCCAAATAAATGTTATAGCACATGGTTAGTTGGAGGCTATCGCTATAACAAAACAAACAACCGCTCAACGGATCATTGTGATGATAGAACACCACCAGTACATTCGGAACGGCCGCCAATGATTTATCTGCAACAGATACTGGTTGGACGTTCCTAAGCAACCAACATGTATGAACACCTCTCCATTGTCTGGAGTGTGAAAAATCAATGAGTACACAGTAATGAGTACACAGTTTACACAAGCAGCAATGTACAGCATAGTGTTGTGGTGAAGCCAGTGCCCAGTACATGACAGCAATTGCTTTGAACATTGTTGGCGAGCGGGAGCGACCCAACTTGGGATTTGCCTGCAATGTTGGGGCTGCGTAACGTGCTCCCTTACTACTTACCAGTGGCATTTGTGAAGGGGTGAAATGTAAGTACCCTAGAGGTTAGTAGCAATGTCTACTGCCTCTACACATTTTGTACACACTGATGATGTACGGGCATGCAACTGTTTTGTTACATTACGTATACAGGCACAGACTTCTCCAGACACTAGACAAATCAGCATGATAGGAAAGGTTGCAAGGTAATTAAGCACAGTGCTTAGGGTCATAAAGCAACAAGATGAACACAGGGCTGCAAAAGGAACACGGCGTACAGCGTGTAGAGAGCGCTAGTCAACGTGGGACAAAACCCAGCAGCATACACACACGTAAACTGCGCGAACAGCGTGGCAGCATATGTGCGCGGTGTCTACGCAGGAAAACTGCATATAGTACTCACCAAAATACCTTGAGGAATCCATTCTCTTGCTCTCTGCGGGGAAAAACAACGATCCGTAACGTTCGCTTTTGAAAACGAATCACACCACCGTCACGTGTCATTCAGACCGCACCCCCTAAGTTTAGGCAATAACAATTTCCTGTAAGAGCTCATTTCCTGCTAAATCGTCAAGCTGTGGCGTTACTGCGCATGCCCAGAGCCAAAAAGGGGCGTGAAAAGCGCGAAATACAAAGCTTCTTTACTCTAATTCTGCTGCGCATATGGCAAAAGAGGTGGGCGTCGGAAGACCATGCGCTAGCACAGGGACCCGTCTTACAGCGCAATTCCGCGATTTGCGACAGTGCCTCCCACGCAATTTGGCCGAATCTTTTAAACCCGCTATCTCCTTACCAGTACCAGTTCAAGCACTGCTTTTTTCATTGAAGGTCTCCAATTTCGCCGGAGGTGTAAACTTGTTGTATAAAATTATGAATCAACCGAAATGCAGAAAGGTTTCCCGGATATTAGCCGCCACATGTAGCATAATTTGCTAATGAACAAATCCTGAGAATATGGTTGAAGAGTGGGTCCATGATGACCTGAAACAACAGTGGTGATAAAACTGAGCCCTGTCTGACACCTCTTCCCAGCTGCTACAAATCCCTACCAACCTTCACCATGCCATGGTGATTGGTACCATGCACGAACGAGTCTGCAGAGCTTGGCATTAATACCAGCATCAAAGAGACGACACAGTAGGACATCATACTCAACTGAGTCAAACGGCATGGAAATGGCATCAGTGCAGGAAACATCCTTACGATACCCAGTTTGATTGATATTTGGAATATTCAGATCTTCGAATACTGGAAGTAACCTGCCAAGTATGAGCGTCTCCAGCAGTTTGGACAGCGCAGGTGTCACAGAAGTTCCTCTGTAGCTTCCTCTCTCTAGAGGATCTTTGCCACCACCTTTGTACACAGGGCTGATTGCTGCAATATTAAGCGTGTGAGGAATTTCTTCTCACTGAATAATTGCATTGAAAATTTGGAGTAGCCAAACTTTGAGAGCATGGCCACCATTTATTTCAGGTGTTCTGTTGATGTTATACCGCTCAAGTCGGCAGCTCTCGTAGGTTTCAATTTTCTGATAGCAGATTCTCTGGAGCGTCCAGAGCAACCTTTTCATTTGCATAAGTCAGCTCTAGTAAGTGTTTTGCTCTATCATATGCAGCTTTTACAGTATCATTTTCATCCCTCGCTTTTCCTGGCATTTCAAAGTGACCCCTCCAAGCCTGAAGCACAGCAGGCGGATCAGAAACAATGTCACCAGACACACGAATTTTTGATCCACACTTATTGGACTTGGAAGTTCTGAATCGGGGTGGACACTTGTTTCTGAAATCACAATCGATTTTCTAAATTCTCTTCCTTTCTTCATTTGCTTTGCATATTTTTATTCTTTTCCTTACTTCATTGCGTAGAGCCTTCTTTCGCTCATGGAGAACACCCTCCCTGGGGCACCCAGCCTCCTTCCATTTATCCCAGGCTTCCTTTTTCTGCTTGCATAAGTTGGAGAGTGAGGAATCTTTATATCACTTATTCTGTTTCTTTGCTGGCTTACGCAGTGGCAAAGTAGATAATGCAGCCTCTTGTATCGACCTTAAAATAGATACTATATGCTCAGTTATTTATTCAACATTGCTATATATTATATATATAATAATATGAGGCCCCAAGGACTTTTGTGACTGCTTGGAAGATGCGCTCTTGATATATTGAGCATTTCCCAGAAGACACTGCACTATCCCATTTGATCTTCGGCTCTGCTCTTTCATTACCTCCGGCATGGAGCAGTTGATGTGAGATTGAAGTTCACAGCTTACAGGATGGTGATCAGAGGAGTTAAGGCCGTGATGATCATGGGTATAACTGGTAATCGATATATTCTGCAGTCACGATATCTGCTTATTTCCACCCGGAAAAGGAGCATTTTTCTTCATTAAGAGACAAATTCCAAGTGTGGCACCACTCAGAGAGACTTATAGGTCATTCCGGAGAAGTGTGCAGTTCAGATGAACTGTTACTGTGTGTGACATTAACCAAGAGCAGCTAAAGAGCTAGTAGAGTGACATTAATTCATCATCATTCTTTTGTGACATGTATATACAATCACACCATTGTAAAACTAAACAAAATGTGGAATTATGTTAATGGCAAGTAAACTATCACAGGGGCTTTATACAAAACATTGTTATTGTCAGATGGTTGTATTATTTCCATTAGTTTTGATTTCTTCAAATATTGGAGACTCTTTTCCAACTGGAGCAGAGGCATGCTGAAAGACAAGTACAGATATGTCTGATTGTGTGACCCATTAGAAAGGCTGGTTGTTTCCCCACTGTCACGAAAGATGCTTATAATAGGGCTGTTAGTGGTACTGTGTTGTCTTAGGTGTCTATGATGTCTGACGTGTCTCTGGTGTCTGCTTTGGTGTCTGTAGTGTCTGTGGTATCTATGGCGTCCCAGGTGTATGGGGTGTTTTTGGTGTCCATGGTATGTGAAAGTCCTCTAGTGTGAATTCATACCCTAAGCAACTTTAGGCACACCAGACGCCACTGCAACCATCAGTTAGTTAAAGCCCTCGTGGACACTTAGTCTATGACACCCTGGGACACCAGAGCCACCAGTGACACAGAGACACCAGAAATACCAGTGACACTTAGGATACCAGTGACACCACAAGACACAAGAGACACCAGTGACACTTAGGACACCAGTGACACCACAGGACACCAGAGACACCAGAACCACCACGAGACACCTTAACCCCTAGGACACCAGTGACACTAGTGACACCACAAGATACCACAGACACAAAAGACACCATTGACACCGCAGACACTAGAGACGCCCGGAAGAAAGACACGACAGACACAATAGACACTTCAAGCACCAACACAATTTATGCATCTTTCGTGACAGTTACAAAACCTACTAATGATCAAGTTAACTCAAAAGCACGTTTTTGATACAGATGTACCTCGTGCATGTGCCTACCTGCTGTTTGAGACTAGTTTCAAGTTCAGAGACCCTGCGACGAAGAATCTGAAGCTCCTTGTCCTTTTTGCCGCCTGAGCTCTCAACCGCCTCTTCTCTTGGACCAGATGTTCCAAAGGTAGTGATTGTTTCTCCTTTGGGGTCTTTGTACAGCCCCACCATCTATTACAATGAGTAATACAACATACATTTGAGAATAGAAACTAAACCAAAAGCCCAAAGCACTATTTAACAAATTTTCTCACTCTGGGTATGAAGACAAGTCCGAGGATCATGGTGGTTCCCAGCAGCAACCCCATTCCCACCACAGCTGGGTAGGCATTCACATAGTCCCTCAGAGTGTAGGTGGAGACAATGATGACAGTCAACACAATACTTGTGACGTACACAGAGGCAGCAATGTACACAGAGTCATCCAGACCCTTCACCTTCACATCGCGAGTACGGAAAGCCAGGAGCAGAGCCAGGACTTGCAGAATGCCCTTGTATCCAAACAGAACCGTATAGAGGACGACTTGCCCTCCAGATTTACAGATGTAGAAAAAATACTTGTGTTGCTCAGCTGTTGCCTAATGAACAATAATTACAGCTAAACGTTTGTGAAATATTTCAAATTCAGTATAATTACACCAAAGGTCTCTTTGGGAAGTTCTCGGTTTGCTGTGAGTTTCACACCAAGGTTGTCTCTCACAGCCTCAGTCGCAGTGTATGTTAGGAGAATGACTACATCAATGACGGCCAGAGACAGGACAAACAGTGCCATCAGATAGTCCCTGAAGAATGACTGTAGAATTTAAGATTTTAGGACAAAACTGAATATAATAATATGCTGTGAGTCACTTCACCACACACACAATATAAACACTGTGGATTCTGACTATTTCCTCTCATCCAGTTAAATATCAATACTTACTGTCTTCAGTTGCAGGGGATTGTTGAAAATGACCCAGACTCTGATCATTTTGATAATGATAGTTCCATAGCAGAAAGAGTAACCGAGAGATATCAGCCAGGGATTGATCTGATTGTGACATAATAAACACAAGACATCAACATAATTACGTGTCCTTACATTGCAGAGTACAGCAGCAAAGTGTGTGTTTGTGGTTGGAATGACGAGAGTGATGACATTGAGGTAGAGAACTATAGCTCCCAGTCCAATCAGGTAGTTGAGGTTAGGACTGGAGAGTCGAATTAACCTGCAATGTACCAATAACATTGTGATGATTTCTGCACCTTGCTACAAACCTTTTCTCTCTGAATATAATGTTGAACAAAATGCAGGCCACAGCAAACACTAGTCCAGCAGTGGCCAGAATGACATAGACCACTGTCAGAGCCACCGAGACTGTCACCACATCCTCAATTGCCATCCCATCGTTTGGTATACCCTCTGTAGGAAAAACAGCCATGCTAAAAATGAACTAAAACACAAATTTGATTTTTTACCAGGAAAATGAAATGATGTTGGAAGTGGGTGGAAGGTCACATTCAATTTTGTAAAGGTCACCTCTCCAACATGTACACGGTGTAGCGTGCCTTTGCAGCAAAAAGAATTGATAATAATGATCAATAATGGTGTTTGGTTACCATTAGCATTTTTCTGGTACTGAGAAACTTTCAATCGGTTGATAATTCTGGTACCTTGATCATTGAAAATGACATCATTACCCTAAAGAAAACAATCATAATCATAGTAAGCAGCTTAATAGCAGTATATACTGCTGTACTGGAATTGCCAAAAGAAGGTTTTAAGACATGCAATAATGTGTGAACAGTTTGGCATGAGCAAAGAAAAACAGGAGCAAACTCAACAAATACCAACTTTTTATTGCATTTTGCAAAACAAATTTATTTTATAACACACGCACATTCACACACAATACCCTAAGATTTCCATTGCATTGAGTACTGCATGTTTATGTCTTTCACAGCATGTGATTGCCCCTGCCTGTTATATCACATGCAAATAATATGAACATAAACTAACACCAATGCCACGAAAACTGGTGTTCTGGAGGTGCTCAAACATCCGTGTCACAATCCCCGAGTTGGCATAGGTGAAGTTGGCCATTGTGAAGGTCTCTCCTTCAGGAAGACCACTTTCCTCTGCAGCTTCTCTGTTCAGAAAATCATCAGCGAGATCTGTAAAGTGTGGTTTCGTTTAAAAAATTGAGACCCTTGGGAGGTGATAGTGTCGTGCAGTTATCTGTGGCTACCCCCACCGGTAATACACAAACAAACATGTGTATTATTCATGGTGACCACTCGTTGTGTTTTGGTTAACATCACATCTTGAAGATTCAGTCATTATGAAACTACTGTATAATAATTGTACCTGTTACAGTTTTATTCAGAGCATAGGCAAATGTTAAAGTAGCTTCATGGCAATGGTAGGCATATGGGAAAATATAATCGCTGTACTCCATCAGTCTATTGTTTTCATTGTAGTCGCTCTGGACAGCTTTGTAGTAGAGAGACCTGAACTCACGAAGTGTCTGAAATGAGAGTAAGAATCTAAATTATCGGTGTAGTGAGGTTCTGTATGTCCTATTTAATCTCTCTATTTAGAAAAAAGGTTTAATTATTGTTCCCACAGACAACCTATGCAGCCATGGTATATAGCTATTATTGGTATTGTGTTGGAGGTGGGGGACTAGGGAATCACTTCCCCCTATCTAGAGTAAGCCACCGATTATCGGACGCCATGTATTCTCGGACGCATTTGTGATGTCTGTGCAGGACTAGATTGGCTACTGTGTATACCAAAGTGGAGTTCTTGGTCATAAACTGTTGTATAAATATATTCGCTCTTATCCGAGCTTTACCGTAGGAATGACGTTCGGACAAGGCTATCAAAGGTAGGACAATCTCCCAAAACGGGAACAGTATGAATGATCCAAGCCAGTGTATGCTCGATTGATGGCTGTACCTTTTGGCTATGCATCGACCCACAAATGGCCCTTTTTTGTCTTCGCTATTTTTGCTCCCGAAAGCGCAAATAGGCGGGGTCGCGTAAGCCGCGTTTTACGCGAAAAGCAGTTTTCGGCTTGTTTCTTCTAACACACGCGCCGGATGAAGCTATATAATTTTCTCCTCGTTCTTCTTGCCTTATATTAGATGCCTGCAGCGCGATTTCCGTTTTTGTGAGATCTAACTCTTTTTGGTAATTACAAAAAATTAATAGCTTACAACAACGGAAATCGTGGTGCAGGCAGCTAATATAAGGCAAGAGAAGAACGAGGAAAAAATTATATAGCTTCATCCGGCGCGTGTGTTAGAAGAAACAAGCCGAAAACTGCTTTTCGCGTAAAACGCGGCTTACGCGACCCCGCCTATTTGCGCTTTCGTGAGCAAAAATAGCGAAGACAAAAAAGGGCCATTTGTGGGTCGCTGCATAGCCAAAACGTACAGCTATCAATCGAGCATACACTTGCTTGGATCATTCATACTGTTCCCCTTTTGGGAGACTGTCCTACCTTTGATGGCCTTGTCCGAACTTTGCTGTGCCCGAATCGTAACTTTACGGCAACGTCATTCCCACGGTAAAGCTCGGATAAGAGCGAATATTTTTATACAACAGTTTATGACTAAGAACTACACTTTGGTATACACAGTAGCCAATCTAGTCCTGCACAGACTTCACAAATGCGTCCGAGAGTACATGGCGTCCGATTATCGGTGGCTTACTCTAACTACAAGAAAGCGAACCTAAAATAAAGAATGTGTTTGGTACACCTACAAAATAGTCTGTTGCATGCCCCCAGGAAATGTGGGTATATATCACAACAGCTCTGCTCTGCATGCTTCTCCTCTCATGTGAAAACTCTTTACATTTTTATAATTCCATGTTATTTGTTTAATCTTTTTGGCAGATTACTGTGGTAGCTAACACTTTCAAAGATTACAAGCTAAGTCAGACTCCCTGCTCAATCTTGGAGCCCCATGTCACTGTAAATAAGCCCATTATGGTTTACTTATAAATTTTCTGTACTTCAGGTGGAGTGTTGAAAGGTGTATATAGAGTCAGAGGTTATGTGATGGAAACATACGCGAAGAACCGTGTTAGAGATTTCTCACTCAAGTTGGAACTGTATATACACAACTATCTTGGCATACATAGGTCTTGATAGGGACCCATAAAAGGTGTTTGTTGTGTATGTTCTCTATGAAAGCTACACAGGCCTCCAGTCCATAATAGTTCTACCTTTATGTATAGGTTATACGATGGCGGCGCGTGGTCTACTGGTTGTACACGAGTGGCCAGTTTTGATAGGGCACGAGGGCGTAGCCCGAGTGGTCTATCAAAACTGAAGCCACGAGTGTCCAATCAGTAGACAACAAGCGAATTCCATCGTATAACGTGTTTGTATGATGACATCCGGCGGTAAGGCTCTGACCAATAAGATTGCGCAAAAGCTTTCAAAACGCCCTCTTTTTAACGCACACCATCGAGTGTATATACGTACGGAGCTAGCTAGCAATCGCTCGGGAGAGAGACAGCTGCAATAAGCGCTTTAGTTTAGTCAAGCTGGGCGGTTGTGCAGAAGCCATGGTCATTTCTCGAGAGATCAACGTTACTGGTATATACGTACTTTTCGCTGCTAGACTCCACACGAGTTTTGTAGCTGCCGCTCTGGCTCGCTTTCTCTCCCGCTATACCCAGCATTCTCGAATGCAGCCTGTTGCAGTAGCAAGAAAGCTGAAAGTCACATACTGTTCCAGTCTACGGGAGCCTACGCGTCGGAAAACAGCTTTCGGTAGTTTTCAGACCGCGTATATACTAGAGCAGTTTCTGGCCATTCTAGCCTGAAAACACTCCCTTCTGGTAAAGAAACAGCAGCACACAAAGAGTGTTCCACGCTACCAATTTCCTACTATCGTCTAACTCCCGTAGACCCACTGTGGTTTATGCAAATGAGTTGACATACAGCTAAAGTATGGGGAAATTGTATGGCCTCTTTATGTTCTAACTACCCGTAGACTGAGCAGGAAGCGCTCACTGCGCATCTACGTTGTTTGGACTAGCTGCAATTCCTTTGATCTTACTCTCAGTCATCATACAATGAACACTTAACCAGCAGTGGACAAATAAATATCAATCAGAATATAATATTGTATGATGACTGAGAGTAAGATCAAGGGAATTGCAGCTAGTCCAAACAGCTTGTGGGTGCTTCCTACTAGGTGTATATATGGTAGTTAGTGGCCATACAAATTCCACATACTTTAGCTGTATATAATGTCAACTTATTGGCAGTCGGTGTATGGTAGTTAGACGACAGTAGGAAATTGGCAGCGTGGGGGCTTTTACACTCTGTCTGTGCTGTTTCTTTGCCAGAAGGGAGTATTTTTACGTTAATGGCAGTGGGCAGAAGGCTTTGCCTGTGGTCTACTGGTTGCACACTCGTGGCTTCCACTAGGGCTGCCTAGTATATACAACCAGTAAACCATGTGCCACCATCATCAAACATATGCTTATACGGTGTTTCATACATCAATTTCTGCATAAAATTAACCCATGGTGTCCAAAGGGTTTAAGAATTTACCTAACATGTAGCTAACCTACTACAATATCATACAATTGAAAAACATGTTTGGTCGAGCCCTTGGAATCCGGTACCCAGGGTTTCAGGGTTTAAGAATTAACCTACTACAATATCAAAAAACATGTTTGGTCAAGCCCTTGGAATCCGGTATATACCCATGTTCATGCTCTAAACACCTCACGGCTTTCGGCATGGGTTTGTTTATTGCCAAAGTCATAAGCATGAAACTCACAATATTTGGCTCGGCTACGGCATCATCAATCTCTGGAAACTCAGCCAGAAAAGGAGCCACATTGTAGAGAGCCACAGCTGCCAACTCATCTGCCGTGCAGTTGTAATCCACGGAGGTGTGGCCTTCTGCCCACCACCCCTCCACGTACCAGTTAGGAGTCAAAAACAAGTACTTTGGAGGAAGAATTCCACTTCTGTATGCCTGCAATAAAATATATTGTAGCTAACTACAAAAAGACACAAACGAAGGATGGAGCTTACCTTACAGAATAATTCTCTGGCGTTGATGCTATACATTTCCACAACATATATACGGACCCCAGAATCCTGTTTAATACATACATTCACTAAAAATCATGAACTGTGTTGATTAACATTCCTTAGCTAGTGACTCACAAATATACTGATGTTGCTGACACTCTCCTCAGACCTAAAGTACCACTCAGTGTACTCAATATTTCCATTTTCAGTTAGGAGCCTTTTCAAAACATCTGACGTCTGAACAAAAGGAATGATGTGAGTACAGCATTCTTTTCCTCCCAAACAAATGAAAAGCACTGAAGTGCAAACCCTCGGCGCACTGTGACGCGCACACGTAAGTAAACGCATGCGCCGTACCACTAATTTAGGGGCTGGGTTTAGTTCTAGCTGTTCTCATGCCAGCTCGCGCAGAGTCTGACGCGGGCTAACTACACTACGAGATAGTAAGCGAGATCTTCTGGTGCCTCCGAAGTACGCAGAGCATGCGGATCGATCCGACTGTGGTAAGCCATCCCGTCCGTTGTGAATTTGCATATTGGCTTTTTCGCGTTCTAGCTTTGCAACGGAGAAGTTTCAGAGAAAACTGTTCGAAATTTCTGACCTTCATTGCCCATTAAGTAAGTCTATGACCTCAGGTATCCTTGTGAGACGAACAAACACCCGAGAAGTGAGATTGAGAGTAACAGACAGACTGACAGACACACACACAGACAAACCCAACTACTGTAACCCTCACTGCGCATGCGCGCCGAGGGTTAACAAGAAACTGAACACATAAACAGTGATACTGAGAGGAAAAACCCAAAAGTACTCAAAAGGGGGTCGGTTGGGGTGAAGAGTGAAAGTGAAAGGATGGGAGAGAAGACAAAGGAGGTTTGTGTCCCTCACTTTTTATCACTCTGATGTAACCATCACATTATACTTGTAAGTTGTTTGTACTTTCTTCCAAATGTATTTAATGAGGCGTGTTTATGGAATGCAATTTAATAATTATTCACACTCAAACACATAATTAATGGTAGTGTTCTGAATTCGATGCATTAAAATTAGTTATGCTAGCTAATCACAAGCATTCTTAACCACTTACTGCAATAAACAAATTTTCTCCTTGAGTAATGATTCCGACTCTTTTCCAACCAAAATACTGAATGATCGAGTAGAACCCATACGCTATTGGTGCATCAGTTGAGAGCAGCTGAAAGTAGTACCTGTGATTTTTATCAGGGGATTGTTTTTTGAAAGTGTACACAAATGAAAGGAGAACCTGAATCGCTGTCGGTTGTGAAGGTCTGGAGAGGAACTTACACAGGATACCTGAGGTCATAGATAATATGCACTCTTAAGCAAAATTTTCTTGAGAATCAAATGACCAGACCTGAGCAATATTGTGGTATTGAGTCAGCTCGGCAGTGGGCTCTGTGGCTGGGGAACAGCCTGACCCCACCCACCCTACCTTAGTAGGAGGATTTGTAATCTGAGTAAAGTAGGACCTGATGGCTGTGGAGCGGTCACACTGCAGTGAGGAGAAATAGCAAATGTTCGAGTTTGGGAGGACCTAGAGTATGGACTTAGAATGGAGTTTATTAGCTAAGAAATGTATATACCTCGCATTGTTATGCTATCGTCAGTGTAGTTGATCTTCCTCACATAGCTAAGTAACTTAACAATGGGTAGTCTGAGAATATTTGGCGTTTTTATAGCTTATATCAAGGTTGAGCTTCCTCACATGTATTGGTTAATATATAGATGGCGAGGCGGTACACCACCGGGTTGTTTGAAGTCGGACTACAAAGCTAGATAACTTGAAAATGGGTAGTCTGAGAATATTTGATGTTATTATAGCATTGTTTGTTGACTGGGATGCTGTGATTATAGAGGGAAGGTCAAATGCACAGAGACACTGAGTTCTACTGGTGAGTATTATTAAGACTTATGTACTGAAAAGTTGAGCATATTAATGATAGTGGGATACTCTTGAGATCCCTATCTTATCAGGATTGACGCCAGTCTTGGCGAAAAGGTGCTGGCTATGTTGCCAGTCAAACTGACCCAGGTCACCATGTCTTGCACTGACTACGCCTGATGCAGTTCAAAACCTGGCCAAGACCCAGGCAGCACTGGACTTATGTGATTAAGCAAAGTCTCTTCATATATAAGCCAGTCGCCTGTGGTCCCTTCCAGAGTTCAGAGTCAGCTTTTGTAGTGTCTCTGCACTGTGTAATGTTGGAAAACTGCATGTGTCTGACTAGTTTTTATAGTGTAATCAACATGGGAATAAAAGGAATTAATCCATAGGGGAGAACACTGTTTAATCCTTAACAGACAACAAAGCATTACTTTACGAAAGTAGTTTCTAGGACTTTCAACAGCAGTGAAGGGCGGGTTTTTCCTTGTGGCTTTGCACTAACTATTTAGCTTTGTGTTACTAACGACATTAGGGGTTTGTAGCAAGTTCATAACAGCATAAGGGCGAAGGCATAGTGACAACCTCTGGTGTTTCACCTGCTTAAAACCTCAGGGTTATGGACATAGTAGGAACTTCTTAGGTATGCTCAGTATCAGGTCAGTTTGTACTCCTCAAACCAGAAAAATACCCACGGCCTCTCGGTCACAGCTGCACAAAATTTCATGTTGATGTACAGCCCACTACCTTAGTTACGCCTGATAACTGCAACTATTCAAACTATTTTGGCTCATATTACTATGTATATACAGCCCTAAAACAGTAGGTGTTCATTCCAGTACATCTTTTCTCAGACTACCAATTCATCATGAAAACAAACAACCTTTTCCTTCGCTAGCTAGCATATATACCTACCAACATGCAGATAAACCTTTGCTTGAGAAATGTGTCAAATTTGGAGTATTTTTTCTTGAAAATGCTGCATGTCCATTCAAAATGTATGGGCATGATGCATCACAGGTGAGCACAAAAAAGTAGGATTTTCTGGTGTGATAGGCACTCTTTTGCTTGATTATCAAGCAAAAACTGAGCTGGATGGTTGGTAGGTATGACATGTGTTGACAGGCAGTCATTGGGGATGGGCTTCGTGCTGTAGGTGCCCTTGGTTATTTCTTGCGCGAGGCTCTCGCTGGTTTTAAGCGACTACTACTATACCTTGTGTAGCTATAAGCGTCCTCGAAGTAGCTAGCTACGCAGCAAAGAATTGAGCGAAGTATACAGCAAAGACATGAGCTAGTTAGCTACGTACCTACATAATCAGTGTGTCGAACCTGGGAGTCGGTGAGGGTGTAGTGAAGACTGTATCCAGGGAGGATGGAGGGTTCACTGTTGATGTAGTCCAGTGCTATCTGGATTCCCGGCAGTGCTCCGACGCTCTTGTAGCTGCTCCCACCAAAAGAAAGTACTACTGCGATATACAGCGGCGTCCGGCCATCCGTATCGTTGACTGGGGGATATATCTGGTGGTAGGGCCCCTGGCTCTCTTGAGCCAAGGTAACGCTACTCGCAGCAAATGCGAGAAAGAGTTGTAGCCAACACACCAGGTCCATCCGACATGTATTCTGCTCACGACAACGATTTCGATATAGCTATATTATACGCAGGTGCTTTTACGCAGCTACCCGAAACTAGCGTCACTCAACAGAGAAAACGTTTGCCTTAGACCGCAGTCACGCGCAATTGACCAATCAGATTACAGAATTGCGGGGGGTTTATTTTTCATAGACACCTCGTTTCAGGTGTCTAATGGCGTTTGCAGGTGGTCTACAGCAAACTCCCCGTACAAAATGGCTATTCTCAAAAGTCGTTATCTGCGCAAACTGGCCGATTCCGCGTTCGGTATATGTAAGCGTAGAAGGCGAGACTGGCAAAGTAGCTCTTTTAAAATGCGTAGTGCACCTGCAAGAAGTCTGTGGACAGTCTCCGGAGCTCGCGAAAGTCAGAAATCACGTCAATATTCCACGAAAAAAGCGTCGGTTTCTTCAGCTCTGGCGATACACAAACACATTGGGCCGTTGCCGTGCGTTGCTAAACCCTTTCAAACGCGCACCACCAATGAGGGCGTTTTATGATGACGTAAACGATTTTTGACGGGGGGCGGGGGCTGTCTCCTCGGAGTCTCACACGAAAGCGTCTTGTTCCATCCGAAGGTAAGGAATGAGGAATGAGCGCAGCGTTGCTAGCTTGTTGCTACCCATTTGAACGCGCAAACACCAATCAGATACTCCGGTCTAAACCGGTTAGACGCAGAAGCTCGGTTGTCTACGCAACATTGCAACCCTCGGGGCATGTGGGTAGCGCCCTCGCTGCGCTCGGGACGCCAACATTCCACAGCCCCTCGGGTTGCAATGTAGCGTAGACACCTCGCTTCCGCGTCTAACCTATATTTAGACCTAACACCTTGTATCCGTAACCTTGTTTGTTTAGCTGAGTAAACTAGCTGAGTGCGCACAACCATGTGTGTCCCACCAGATCAGCTCTGGAATGTTGAAAAAAACCTAGCTAGCTAAGCTTTCCAAACCACTCAGAGCAGAATCAGAGAGTCGGTAGACTCTCTATATAGGGATGACGCGGGTGAAATCTCACGTGATCCGCGTACAAAACGACT